TCACTAAACCCTAAAACATGTTTTATTTCTCACCCAATGGTAGAGCCTAAACCCTAAAACAGCCCTGGAAATTAACCAAATGTACATAAAAAGTCTTTTTAAATGTACTTTTTAATAAATTTAATCGCAATAAATAGGAGAAAGGAATTGAAAATCGTATTTAGAGAATTTGATCGGGAAATTAGAAAACGTACCCGTAAATTTGTATGTACATATATAGTTTATGAGACACCACCGAACCATATAGTGACTTTCTCGTGTAGGCCATGTACATTTCGGGTATTTCCTCTATAAATATTGTAGTGCCGGGCTCGACGGACTTTATTTTAGCTAGGGGTGAATCAAGCTATTCTCGACAAAAGAAATGTACAGCTATCGAATTGTTTGAAATGATTTGCTCGAGTCTGAAAATTGGATGTGTTTATAACAACGATGTTAATGGCCTGGAACGAGTTATAAAACTGAGTAAACGAGTTACTCAATGAGTTTTTTTTTAGAGGGTTTGGTTTTACGACCAGTTTTGGAACGCGGAAGTGCATGTACGTCTAGTGACTTTCCCATGTAGGGCATACACAAATAGGGTTTTTCCTCTGTGTATATTGTATTGCCAGGTACGACAGTTTTTTTCTTCTTTCAATTAAGGGTGGCCAAGCCGACAAAAAAAATTGTACAGATATCAAATTGTTTGAAAAGTTATGATCGAGTTTGGCAATTGAACAAGTTTCAGCAACGAGTTTTACCTTTTTAGGAATGGGTTTCAATACCGAGTAAACGAGTTGCTCAACGAGTCTTTTTTTAGGGGAGCTCGTGGTTCAAAATGAGTTGCAAAATCAACCCCGAAAAAAACCGTCGAGTTGAGTTACGAGTTGCGACAGTTTTGCCACAAGTTCCAAGCCAATACACGAGGTGCTTACACGAGTTCAATTTGAAATCAAACAAAACCAACCATTTTACTAAATATAGTTACTGTTTACAGCCAATGAAATCACGAGATTGGGCCGACCAGAAGACAATACTATTAGACAAAAGCAAAACTCATAGACCAAAACTCGAAACCAAAACAATAGTAGTCTTCTTTCTTTATTGTTATTGCTTTGTAGTCTATTTGTGTACTCACTCTGTACTATACTGTGGCATGTGCTTTTTGTATGTTCGCCTATTGTTGGTGTATCATACCTACTGGCCATTTTGAAAATAAATAATATTATCCGTATTGTTGGTGTATGTTCTGCACTTATGTATTCGTTGTCCTATCGTGCCGTGCATCCCCTAGTGCATGTTGTGCGATCCTCCGTTGTGAAATCAGTTCGTGGTGGCTCTGTTGTGTTGGTCCTGATCCTGTGATTGATACAATCGCTCGATGTTGGCCTCGAGCCGAGCTAGCATCTGTTGATGATCATGGCGATATCTGATCGCCAGCTGGGTTACCTGAAACGTGTAGAACTCGTAACCTATTATTGTAGTCACCGGAACCGGTGTGAATATTGACTCCCTGTTGTTTGTTGCCCTCTGATTGCGCTGCATATTTGGCCAAGGACCCTATATACTCGTGTGTTACAGGCAATCATAGTGGTATGCTTATGATTGTTATCATAGTGATATACTTAAGATTGTTAGTACATTAAGGTATTGTGTTGTAATTCTGTTGAACACATTAAAGAGTATTGGCATAAAGGTCAGTACGTGAATGTATGGCTGTGCCGATACCTGTCGGAATGAATTCACCCCGATCATCGTAAAATTCATGTTGTAGCCCGGTTGCGGTCTAGATACTTTTGATGCCGCGAAGAAAGTGTAGATTGGCATTCAATTAACCGGGCCACCTAGTGTGTAACTGTGGGTAATCAGTTAGCACGAGGAAGATAAGTATCTCCTATCGTGATTTCGTTATTAGAATATATTTATCTCATTTGCTAGTGAGGGAAAACGAAATGTTTTATTTCGGAGAAAAGCCCTCACTAGGACTTCAAGCAAATCATAGCGAGAGTCGGTCTGGAGGTCTTCTGATAGCCCCGGTCGACTATAAGAAAATACAACGCCCCATGGTGTTGTCTTAGCAGCAAGTGCTCTTAAGGTGCAAGACGGTCCTATATGACCGAATTGTACATATATTTGAAAACTATTGTGCCCTGAATATATGAGGTTTTATATCTTTATATCTCCCAGAAGCCAGCAACCCCCCTCCCTCACAGTTGTGCAAGCACAACGCGAATAATTAATTCTGGGGTTTATCAGGTTTTTTAAACTTCTATTGAGTTTTATAAATCTTGAGGTATATTCTTTTCAATTCTGTCAAAGTTTTTAGGCAAATGCAATTTGCATTTGCCGCCATTTTATATTTTAATAAGACATATATATGTCATCCAAACATGATACATCCTCAAAAGATAAACTTACATTTTTCCATTGGACAAGACAGGGCTGACATCATCAAAATATTCATCATCAAATTTTTTTAATCAAAATTCGGATTCAGAATTTTAGAAAGAAACCCTTGCTTGTGTATTTTATGTACCAATACTATAAGCCGAATAAACATTGTTTGACGACCACCAATAGATTCGGTCTCAAAGCTGCAAAAGCCAAAATATGTGGAATCTGATTCTGTTATCACTTATCAGTGTTATGATCGGCGATCCATGGACCTCTGGAGACTGGATAAAGTCTCCAGGAACTTAGAAGATGCAGCCTTTGTTCGGCCTTTTCCACGCGGTCGCGGACTTGCAGAGAGTCAGAGACGCAAATCGACAATCCAGCGACCCCAGGGGCTCAGAGAGAGGGCCATGCTGGCATGCCGCCATTATGGGCGATCGCAGCGGCAGTACAATTTTGGCGCTTGTTCTGCAATTTGATTATTTCTAAAATAAAATAAAACCCGGTCTCGTGAATACCAAAATGCTCACCTCCAAATTCAAAAACAACTATGGCATAATAAATACATGAGCTACAGCAATAGCTATACCCCTCCCCATGACCCCATCCCACCCTCTAGATTTAAGGTCTCGAGCGGAAAAAAAGGTTATCTCTGCGACATCGATAATTTTGCGGAGACCTTCTAGAGGGCTATGATACAACCACCAATGTTTTATGAGAGTCTCTATATACTATTTAGAGATGAAACCAGCAACCAGCATATATATATATATTCTCTATATTTTTGTATGTAAGAAACTTCCAAACCAACATATACCTCAATTCTTCAATTTGTTCAATTTAGTTCATAACCATTTTTATGAGCTTTTGATATACGATATGGTTCAACATATCATGCAGAGAGTTTTGTTTAATGAGATCCTCTTGATAAAAGGATTACATAATCACCTTTCTTCAAATGGGCGATATTGTGTTTCTCATCCCATCTTTTTTTGAGTTTATGAAGATACTCGTACCTTCTTTAAAGCAGGATAAACATGAATTTTCAGTCTAAGCTGATGCTCAGTCCATTCTTTTTCAGATTTGGGTTTGTTTGGATTGTCTAATTTACCAAATAAGAACAGTTCTCGGCCATAGAAATCATGTAAAGAGAGAAAGAGAAAAATACAAAACCTTTTCGTCTTTTTAGTTTCCCCGAGGTCACCAGTGTAGAATTAAAGACGGAAATATAAATCTTCAGACCCCCTTTGATCTGAAAGTCTAAGTCTCGGACAAGAAAAAGAAGATGAAAAAAAGGATTAAAAAAAATCCAAAAGCTCCCCCATCCTCCCAAATTTTATTTGCTGGGGCTCCCAGTTTTCCCGGTGAAATGTCGGTGCAAAATGCACCAACTCCTACCAATGTGCCTGGTACATACTATATTTCATCCAAGGACTGGGCAAATATGCTTAAATCGATCGCGACGCTCCATGATCTAATTAAAACCCTACATTAGAAATCGTGGACCTTGCATCCCGCCTCAGTACACCGCCAAGCGACAATCACACTACTGCATTTCAACTTGGTGTAAGCTCACCTCAACAACCAACAAATTATGCCACAGTGATCACTACACCGGCAAAAAGACAACAAGAGAATTTACGGACTCGGGAACAGATGACTAGAGATCAGATACAAGATGCACACACCACTACTTCGTATTTGTACACGAATTAATGTTCCTGTTGCAACAGCAGCCAATACTAAAAAGATGTATACACCCCAGACGACGATAAGTGAGGTGAAACACAGATTAGAAGCTCAAGCTATAGCGCTTCATAATGCTATCAAGAAGTTAGATGAAACAAGCCAATCTATACTAAAAATGGTTGCTGATGGTGTAAAAGCGGAACAAACAATCAAGACAGCAACAAAACTAGGAGTGACACTACGAGACGAGGTAGATACACAACCAGGCAAGCTTGAACATATGCAATTCCAAATGAGCAAAATGGCTACGATGATGAAAGAAACGAGAGTGTACATATTTTCTTACGGTTATATCCTAGGCACGAGGGAGGTGACTAGATATTGTACCGGATTCCAATCAGTAGGCAAATTTGGAGCGTTTATGACACAGATGAAGAGCTTCGGAGCCAAGTATGAACCGGGGAGAAGATCTGGGACTTTTGAGAATGCAATTGTGATGTGGTTCGCCCGTGTTCGTCATAACTTAGAGCAGGGTGTAGTAATGCATTTATTTGGGCTGTCCTGTACTCAAACAGTATCAAACATACTTAATAATGGTAAATTTTGTGATGTATGCCTATTTCAGACATCCAGCACATGATTTTTGCTATTAGACGAAGAATCAACAACCGCTGGCTGTTACCGTATTTTGAGGTAGATTACCCAAATACAGCACTCGTCATAGATTGTACAGAGTACTTCTTGGAAACCTCGTCTAACTTAGACACACAAAGAGCCTCGTGTAGCAACTACAAGCATCACAATATCCCGGAGTAATTGGTAGCTATTTCAGGGGCAGCGCATTGTGTGTTCGCTACTCGCCTTATGCCTGGTAAGATCAGCGACCCCGATATCACCGAGCTATATCGGGACAAACTGTTTGGAAGATTATGGCGAAAATCATATGTTATAGGTGATAAAGGATTTCACATATATAGTCTTTTACCGCCTGACTGTACATATAACGTACCGCCCCTCTTAAATAGAGACCAACAATTCACAAGGGATGAAAACCGTACAACGAAGAAAATAACTTCATCTCGCATACATATAGAGCGAGTTAGCCGTCGAGCTGAAATATGTCGGTTTCATTAGCAAGTGTAACTTGCTTTTTATCTTACCGATATCATCTGGCCCTGTGTTTGACGTGATGTGTGAACGATATTTTTTATTCAACCTAAATCAATTTAGTTTATAAAATTCTGCCACATCATCTATCAGCTTTATATGATTGTTGCGCATGACTACGAACGCCTCCGGTGTCCCAGCATACGATAAAGGATCCAGAAAATTTCATACACTCCTTTAAGTACTGTTTCTGACATAGGCCTTCGCGTACTTTCCGCTTCCGTATATCGGGTTCTGTATTCGCTTCATCACTTTGTTGTACGAACGCATCTTGTCTCTCGGCAATTGTGTGGGGGTCCATTCTCAAGTCCATCTTTTCGTTACCTGATGGTATGACCCAATTGCCTAATCTACTGGTACACACAACATTTTCATCATCTGATTCACCGTTTGGTGCTTTCGTCACGGCTGAATCATGGCGATATTTCTCAAGCTTATTTGCTCGAGTCCTGGCACCCTGTTGCGCCGTACTCCATATCAGTGCTGCCACGTGCACGCACTTCCCTTCGATACATAACGGACACACGCAGTAACCTTTCTTAACATAATATTTACCTTCGTTATTTAAAGCAATATTAGCATATGCCTGCGTCAAATTTTGAAATTGTGATCTAGGTATTCGTCCGGTGACTGAGGTTTCATGATTAGCGTGAAATACAGTCTGAAAAACACAACTGCACCCACTTATACTTAGACAGAGATTTAGCAGCTCTGACTGCAGTGTTCGCCTTCTCATTAGGCTCAGCTACATGGGAAGCCGTTCTGGTTTGGCCCTTCTCGTACGTAGCAAAGCAAAAAAAAAACTCCAACATCGTACCCTTTGTTACAACCGGATAACGATACTAATCTACTTTAGCAACCGCAACATACGTATGTCTAAAACCATCTGGTATTGGACAAACACCGAAATCTTCAAGAACCTCAGGGATTTTCTTGATGGGATTGGACTCTCCTGAACTGTATGCAAATGCGACGCTGTCGTCTATATTGTGTCCAGTAATTCCTACACATCCATCCTTTGGACTGTCTTCTCCTCTCAAGGTGATACATTTAGTACCCGAGATATCAAACACTCACGCATTCCTAAATGCATTCAAAGCCAGGCGAAATGACCGCACACACGGCACATACTTGTCGGACGTGAGACATGCTTTTAATGCTTTCAGCATTTCATCGTCGTCGTACTCTCTGTTTGCGTCACTAAGATGCATCTTCATATTAACTAATAAATTATCTACTCGAATACGAAACAATGGCCCCGGCCCCTTCGAAGAGTACAGGTGTCTGATGTAATCACATCCTTTTAGGATAGCTCTTGCAAGAAACATAGCATCCGTCAGGTGCTCAGTGTCAAGAAACTGTCTTCTGTGATCATAAGAAAACATACAGATTATAAAAGACGATAGCATATACTTCGCAGCTTCATTGATCAGACCAAAACAAATGTCTACGCCACCTTCATATACTAAGAAGTCGGAATATATACATGCTACAAAGCATTCTCTATTTGATAATCTACATAAGTAGATGATTTGAACATCCGCTTCATAGGGTGCAATCCACTTCTCACATCGCATGGTTACACAACTGCTTATACCAATACGTGTTTGTTGCCAGGTTCGTATGCACGCAGCCAAAAGCGTTTTCATACCTTCTTTCGTTGCCGCCAGGCCTTTACCATCCAGCTCTCAAAATTCGGAAAATGCTTTCTTCGCGTCATCTGTGCATTTTTCTTTCTCCTTCTGTTTCGCTGGAGGTACATCACCGTCGAATACGTAGACTGGAGTACAGCCAAGTATATTGCTGCAGGTACTGTTGAATAGACTAAATATGTTGATTTTTCCTGTGTACGCGGCTCTGTTACTTCCCCCCCCCCCCCCCTCCCCCATTGTTGTGGACATGGATCCCGTGTGCAATCTATAGTGAATTTATAAAGTTATTTCGTGTGCACCGTTCCATAGTCAAGTGAACTAAAGAGGAAGCATCTACATAGCAGACCTTGTTCTCTAATTGTGGTCTGAGTAGTGATATATGTGTGGGTACCGCTTTGAGCGACGTGATAGACTTGCCATCTATCTCTACAAAGAGAGAGAGTGTGTGTACACGTGGGTTTTGTGTTTGTTTGTTTTGATTTATTGATATAAGTGCAGCCCACGCCCCCCCCCTTGTCCCCACTCAGTTAGCCCCACCACCCCAACAAGTTCTGACAGTACCGACTCCACTGCATCTCCGCATACGATAACCCGAAGTGGTATGCCCTTCCCTTCTCAAATACCCTCTCAACACAACAGACCCCCCCCCCCCTCCCCAATACCCTTAGTACATACCACACCCCCCACTGCCCACTCCCATTCCTCTTCTCCATAGTCACACCATACCACCCCCGCCGACTCCCATTCCCATCCAACCACCCCCGCCGACTCCCATTCCCATCCAACCACCCCCTCATCACGCCATCACAATATACTCTCCGTCTTCCCCTATATCTCTTCTCCGCAACCCCAGCCCTTCCACTACTACACACAATTCCTATATATCACCTCCCCCCTCCACTATACCTCTTCTCCACAAACCCAGCCCCTCCGCTACTACACACAATTCCCATATACCACCTCCCCCTTCCCCTATACCCTTTCCCCACGATAATCTCGACGTCACTCATGCTTTTGGATTCGACTCTAACCTCGCAGCATTTTATACGCCCGTCACAACTCCAGTATATGCCCCCGGTCCCAACGCTGACTTCTTTGATTCCGAACCCGCCGCCCTACGCGCACAAATCCCCCTCATCCCAGCTGATCATTTATCCTGTGCGCCGACCAATGTACCTTGCCGTACTCTCTCCCGCCGTATGAATTCATCCCAGCAACGCCGTCTAGCTTATCGTATTCACCAACTCAAACATCGAATCAAATCATTCATCTCTACAACAAAGCCTGAGTTCACACTTGCAGATGCCGTTGATTTAGATCCAAGCCTCCCGACTGATACTTCTGGTCTGACGCCATCGATCGGGAGCGAGCCGCTCACGACCGCAATAGCCTCGCCGATGCCATTCCTCTATCTGATGTCCCCTCAACCGCCAAAATCATCCATTCCAAGTATGCTTTTACCAGTTAACATGATGAAAATGGCGATTTAACAGTTTATAAGACCCGCATGGTCGCCCGTGGAGATGAACAACTCCACGGGGACTTATTTTGGGACACTTTTGCCCCTACCGCATCGTCCTCTACTCTCCGTACCTTCCTTGCTACCGCAGCATTCCAAAATCGGTCGGTACATCATTTCGATTTAAATACCGCCTACCAATACGCCAAGCTTGACACCCCGGTTTACATGTTTCCATCGAAGGGTAACGTTGAGCTGGACCACTACGCACCCAATAAGATTCTCAGACTCTTCCGTAGCCTTTACGGCCTCAAGCAAGCCGGCCGGCTTTGGAATCAGGACATAGGCCGCACATTATGTCACCTCGGATTTATACATAGCAAACAGGACGAATACAACTGGCTTCACTCTGAACGCGATTTATTCTTGTCGTTTATGTTGATGAGGTAGTTCCTGCCATGGTCCGCGATTCTGGCAATGTCGAGTGGCTTTTCGACAAACCTTCTCTTATGTACAGCATGAAGAATCTCGAGCTTGCCTCTGCCACCTCGTTGGCCTCCGCATTCTTAAACATAAATTTGAGCCCACAACCATATGGGAATTAACTCAGTTGGTAGAGTGCGTGCTTTGCATGCACGAAGTCGGGAGTTCGATTCTCTCATTCTCCATTTTTTTAGCTCCCAACTGGATAAGCTAGCGCGATTCTCGACTGAGTACTGGAGACCTCCGCGGGCCCAGCCGAAAGGAGCAACGGAAAAACGTATTAGAATTTTAGATACGATACTCTACTTTACTTTATATAGAAACATTGTCATTTTGGCGGGCTAGGTCAGGGAACACCATTTTCTAGAATCTACAACCTCTCTCAAAAATACTCACTTTCACTGGTAGAGAGCATAAAAGTAAATCGGAAATCAACAACAAAAACAGTCAAACACCACTGACCACAGCCCACCACTGTGAATTCGTTATTTAAATATACTGCGCTTCCCGTACCCGCACATATCAAGCAACATGTCAAACTCCGATGTCACGATTCAATTCCTCGGCCATGGTATTTTGTTGATCTGTTCTCTCTGCAATTAAACTCTGCGTGTATGCTTTTACTTTGCCAGTAGTGTAAGCTAGTCCAGACTCGTATAATGTTTGAAAATCATAGCGACGTGTGTTAAAGGCTTGTAACATTGGTTATGGTCCGTTTTTAAATTTAAATGTGCTGCACTGGTATGCTGTGGCCAGGTGTCTGTTATATTCTTAAAATATTACAATACTTGCGTGTTTAGCTCAATCCAAAAGAAAAAACGAGCTGTGAGGAGTACAGTTCGATGCGTGTGCCAATTTCCAGAAACCATCAACAAGTATATACAAAATTTGGAATTACTGTCGTGTCTTGTATGGTTGCGCGCTACCACATTAACGACCTCGCCACGAACCACAAACACGCAAATACACGAGGATTCTACAGGAGACGTCGGCGGGACTTGAAAGATAACGGCTGGGTTTGAAAGATATCGTACTACCATTGGTCGGTGCACATAGTGTTGTCACGGTCAATCGATATTTATTTTTATTATGTGTTTGCACACAGTATTGATATTCTACGACACCTACAGCCTCAGCAGACAAGTAAAATGACACAATATGTATTCTCGTATGGCGCGGTGTGTAATTGGCTTCATACACAGTTTAGTTTTAGTTGTGACGTAAATCGAGACTTTAAAACAAAAATCGAGGTTACGAATATGTATGCAAAGCAATATGCAGTGTGAGCTAAATACTATATAAATCGTGGAGTTAACCACTCCGGACGATTCTGGTCCTGCGTGCATCATACATAGCCATCAAAATTCACGTGTGGATTGGCATTTCGTACTCATATCCGAGTTTAGGGTTTTCTATCGATATACAACACACTGCAGTGAATCTCTAATTGCCGAGCATCTCTATATATAGTGCGTGAGAGAGGTAGCTCTATTTGACCACGCTCTTATGCGCACCTATACGCGGTTCCTGTCAAGCGCTGTTGTGTGACTCTTGGCTTTTGTTGGGTTCTTGCTGTGGGGATTAAAGTTGCACGTCAACTTAACCCATATGTAGGAATTCGATCGATTACTGGTATCTAACCCCATCCGTTTATTTCTACGATATGGCTTCACGTGACCATCATGGGATATGTGTATGAGCGTATGTGACGTACACGAACAGATGTTAGTACCCGTAAGGTGTTCATGTATTGGTCCCTAATAGTGCAACGACTGCTAGTATTCCTATTTCAGATCCCATGTAACACGTGTTCTATCTTTTTCAGTACCATCACTTGCACTTATCCATCGTATGCGATACCCAAACCTACAGCGGCCTTTTCCATCTCAGTTAAGGGGTTTGTGATTCTCATCGATCCCTGGCTGAACAATCCCAAAGCACCCGAAGGCGCCATTGACACACTGACTAAGGTATGCGTAAGAACGATGCGCGAGAGAGTGTTTTAATGGCGGGTGTTTATCTATGTAGAGTGGCCGGGTGTGTCATCTATACAGAGTGGGCGGGTGTGATGTACAGGGTATTCGAAACATATGGTGCTAACTTGTATGGTCTCTACAAACCTCGTCATGTATGTTGGATTCTATGCACAGGCGTATCCAATGTTGTCCTACAAGTGTACATACACTCCCAAACAACTTGTGCATGTATTCATACTTTCACAAGAGGTTTGTCGTTATTTGTATTGCATGACTTACTGTTCGGCACTATATGTACCATGTAATACGTTTACTGATTTGTTCCAGCTCTATCCTCAATGCTGAATGCTGCTGTCGTTTTGTTAGTTAGTACGTTTATCGCTAGTCGCATGAATAGACTACTGTATGGTTCAATTAGCCGGGTCAAGTGTGTAGTGCGTTGATTGCTATCTAGACTGATGCGATGCGGATCTCAGCGTACAAGTAAATCGCTTAGGCTCAACGTGAGGTATTTTAGTACACAAACAAACACACAATACACTTGTACACCTATTGCCATTCAAAACAACTCTCAATTCACAACTGAATATCTTTCACGTGGTAAATCATCACACAGGGAAATGCTATTATGACCAATATCCACTTACCTACCGTTTACTCTGACCAATATCCACTTACCTACCGTTTACTCTGACCAATATCCACTTACCTACCGTTTACTGCAACTAATAGCCACTTAGCTACCGTTTACTCTGACCAATATCCACTTACCTACCGTTTACTGCAACTAATATCCACTCATCTACCGTTTACTCTGACCAATATCCACTCACCTACCGTTTTGCTATCGCTTTCTACCACCGCCCAGGTGGATGTCATTCTGATCAGTCATGGTCACTTCGACCACGTGGGTGATGCGGCGATGCTCGCCAAGAAGTTTAAGGCCCAGGGTGAGTTTCGTATTCGTAAAGAGGTCTGACGATAAGCATTCGTGTGCATTGTTTAAGGGGTGTGGATGGACAATACTTCTTCTGCAACCGTCATCGGAACATGCATAGCCCATTGTACTGGCCGTGCATGCCTCTAGACACACCGTTCTATCGTAATTACTATAGTTCAGTCCATGGATTGTTGCGTATGTCTTTCAACGTTTTTACGTTTATACTATAACGAGGGGCCATTCAGCCAAAAGCACTAGGCGAAGCGCTTGACCAATCAGCCTATGTCCGTGCCAGTTCAGTCTGTGCTTTACGTAGAGGTATGGCTCTGCTCGAGGGTCAGTATCTACTAAATGGATAGTGATTCGTTCTGTTTTTGGGTAGTGGACTGGATATTGAGATAGCAGGCTTACTTTTATCCTAAAGTATACTATTGGGGATTTAGCTGAACGTGCACTTTGGCAAGCCACTATTTCCACAAACGAGTTATCATTTAAATTTATGAGTCTGCGCGTTCTTGTGAAATCATCCTTGCATACACAAAACAACAATTCAGGGGTAAACAAACAGAGAGGAAACTACCTTTCCTCATCTTATAAATACTGACAATGCTCCGCACACACTCATGACAACTGTCCTAGGCATACTAACTACTTTGTTATGTACTCTAAGAGCTATACTATTACTAACTACTTTGTTATGTACTCTAAGAGCTATACTATTACTAACTACTTTGTTATGTACTCACAGTGTACTGTATACACGAGGTGTCGTTCTACCTGAAGGGCGAGGGAGTGGCGGATGAGCAAATAGTGGGCATGAATATAGGCGGCACGGCAGACCTTGGAAACGGATGCCAGGCCACTATGACACAAGCGGTGCACTCGGGTGAGTTCATAGTTGTATCTTTCACGGATTCATAGTACATAATGAGTGTATATGATATTTAGTATACGCATTCATAGTACATAATGAATGTATATAATATGTAGTATACCCATTCATAGTACATAATGAATGTATATAATATTTAGTATACCCATTCATAGTACATAATGCATGTATATAATAGGTAGTATACCCATTCATAGTACATAATATATGTATATAATATGTAGTATACGCATTCATAGTACATAGTGCATGTATATAATATGCAGTATACCTACTATGACACAAGCAGTGCACTCAGTTGAGGTCATAGTTGTATCTGTCACGGATTCATAGTACATAAGGAATGTATGTATTATGTAGTATACCTGGAAATTGCAGATGTGTGTGTGTATGTGCATGTGTGTGTGTATGTGCGTGTGTGTGTGTATGTGCATGTGTGTAGGGGCGACCGCCTGGATGGGTATAGAAGTATGTGTGCAGTTGTCCATGCAGCGATGGTGAAAGTCATATAAGGGTTGTAGAAACCGTACAAAACCACAGTTACTTGCACATAGTATACGCATACTCTATCGCACATTAAAGTGTCTCAACCTCAGACATACAAACTATCACGTTGTAGTCGTTTGTAAATTATACATCTCAAGCATGTAGCGAACTTGGCATCTACTCGCGTATACACATGCACGGTTATATGTGATACATAACACACAGTGTGCAGTTGAGGTATGGTTATATGTGATACATAACACACAGTGTGCAGTTAAGGTATGGTTATATGTGACACATAACACACAGTGTGCAGTTGAGGTATGGTCCGTACGTTCTACAAATTACCAAGTCACTATAGAGCAAATAAGCGTAAACCTATCGAGCACCTACAAACCATATGCGTTCAAGATTACATGTGTAGGGCGTGTGCATACCTGCACATTAAATCACTCGTGTGCAAGGTCGTGAGTCATAGCTGCCATATCACACGCATTCAGTCTACACGCCACACGGGCACATCTCCCCATCAGACCATGTAAACGAGCTGTCCCGGAATGACTGCGTTATGGTCAGTCCAGTCCTATTGACAGCACAGCCATAGGCACAGCACACGGATGTTGTGTCTTGTCTTCTTCTTCGCTGAACGAGTTTAATGCTATTGCTATTTATAGGTGGGTGTGGATCGGAACATCCCTTACAGGTCGGAGGTGCAGCGGCTGGCTGGGTGGTCCACTTGCCCAATGGTATGTACACTGTTGACACTTGGACGCCGCTACATGCGGTTGATATTGGTGCCTTGTTGGAATGGTGTCTGGTGTGAGGTAGACTTTGGAATAGAATGTGATACTGGGAGGGTTGTGTGGCATGTCATGCTGCAGCATTGGTTCTCAATGGTATGTCGTATTCACCACGTGTATAGCGCTGCCTGCGCTGTACGAAAGAGGTTGCACAATGGTGTGTGGTATTAGAAAACGTGTGCACACCACATGTTTTCATAGTAAGAGAATCGTGAAGTTCGGTATTTGCATGAGGGCCCGTGTTCGTGCTCATGCTAGTTGTGAACACATCGCTCGCTCCAGTAGCCCCCCATTGCCGGGTGGAGTACAATCGTGTGTGTAGCTGAATATAGGCACACATGTGAAGTAGTCAGAAATCATTGGCCCTCAAATCCTCGCTACATAGAGGGTTGCACAATAGTCTGTGATGTCAGAAAACGTGTACACAGTGTATGTTTTCGTAGTGAGAGAATTGTGAAGGCCCGTTGCCGGGTGGAATACAATCGTATGTGTAGCTGGATATACGCACGTGACGTATTCAGCGGTGTTAGCTTTAGACCCACTCTACATAGAGGGCTGCGCATGCACCACTCAGGTGGTACAAAACGTCAACGGAACATATTGAGAACCCTCGTCCTTTACATCTGGGTGTAGCACTCCCATGCATAGGCGTATGGACCGATGTACTTCATCCGGTGGGTCTGTTTGTATCGCTTTTCAAACCATCCGTGTCCACAAGCCTCATATCATATCCTGCTATCCGAAACTCAACATTCGACTATCTATTTATTTATTCAATCTGTGGGGGATGTGTATGGGGGGGCGTATATTAGGCCACCGCATCTATCACTCAGGTGACACAGACGTGTTCGGAGACATGAAGGTGATCTCGGACCTATACAGCCCCGATGTAGCGTTGCTCAGCATCGGCGACCACTACACCATGGGACCACGTGGGGCGGCATACGCAATCAACAACCTGCTCAAGTCTGTGAACATCGTTGTTCCTATGCATTTCGGTACCTTCCCCTTACTCGCGGGCACCCCTGCCGAGCTGAAGAAGCTGGTGACGTCCAAGACGGTCAATGTGTGCGAATTGAAGCCGGGAGAAACGCTTGATTTGCCAGGGCGTAGTGTTGGGGAGGCACTCTCGGCATTGCACTGATATGCGCATACGACGGTTTAGTATGCATATGTACATACATTTGTCAAAAGATTTAGTGTGCATAGGTACATACATGTGTCTATGCAGTACTGATTTTTATTATGTATATATACATCCGCTTGTCCATGTATAGCCACATCTGTAAGTTGCGCAGAGAGATGTGCGCAAATAGAAAAATACATCCCAAAACTCGTTATTTGTTATATATGTACCTTCATATTAAACAAATAACAAACAACATATAAAAATATTTAAACAAATATATAACATATAAAGTTATATCCGTTATGTTTTATACGTACCTTCATGTTAAACAAATAACAAATAACTTATAAAAATACATAACATATAAAGTTATATACATTGTGTTTTATACGTACCTTCATACTTGTCCCTTCCGTTCGGAATCACCTGCGTAGAGCTGGTGCAACCGGTGACGTCTAAAACCTGCACAAGAAGACACGTTTGATTATCCCGCGCGTAGTGTTTGGGAGGACCTCACTGCGTTGCACTGGGGCGATACGTGGCTGTACTTTGAAATAGTTTATAGTATGGTGCATACATACTTATATGCGTATGTTTAGTATTACGTGACTGTGCTTTGCCAAATAATTTATAGTAAGGTACATACATACTTATATGCCTATGTTTAGTATTACGTGACTGTACTTTGCCAAATACTACATAGTATAGTCCATGTATGCTTATATGCGCATGTTGCGTTACGTTGCTGTACTTTGCCAAATAATACATGGTAAAGTGCATACATACTTTCAGATGATACATCGTATCATCCATGCACACTTATATGTGCTTGTTGTACGTATAGTTGTGTGCAAATCATGGAGATTTGAGCCGAAGCCATGGGTGACATACCTACCAGTCGAACTGTATGAATTATGAAGAAGCCCTTGAATTGCACCGCCGCACTGCTAGGGGGCTCCCTCTGTAATGGGCTGATATATGCATGGATTGTTCCTGAAAATCAATCACATACTATACTGCAAGTGTATGTGTATACTACACTTGTAGGTAGGTGTAGGTGAGTAGTGCAAGTATTGGAGTATATGCTCGGATGGGCGTTGTCAGGCCTTGGCTTCATAGACTTGCATTATATTACCTGCATTCTAATAGGTGTGGAAGTGTTTAAGAAAAGGAAAACATATACTTAGACGCACTCACGAACGCGCATGTGCGATCTTTTAGGACGAGAGTGGCACGAGTACAGCTACAACAATACACTAAAGTATCTCTACGACGCTCCCAGTCCGGTGAGTCACTTCTCATACAGAGGTGGTACTGGGGAAGTACTCACCACGCTGTCCTCAGTGTATACATACGCATGAAGTATTGGAGGGTGTAAGCACACATCTCCAGGCACCGGGTATACTCATGTAGCAGTGTATATTTGTACACACCCATATCTGGTATGCTTATGGCGGGATGCGAGATACATGCAAAGATACGGACCACTTTCCAACTAAGTACCGAACATCAGCACTGTTCAGTGCACACCCGTCGCGGTTTAGCACTCGTAGTCACACTCAATCAATCACACGCTCCACAGTGGCGGTGGATCTCGGAGGGGTTAAGAACACGGCACTCGGCACTTGGACCATTGCCGATGTAGTCAAGTAGTAACTGAAGACTCGGTTATCCCAAAGCAAAACCCATGAGGACAATTAACGAGGATTTGGCACTACGGGGGGAGCCGCTGCATGACCAGTGATGTGCCATGACAATTCGTCTCGCTATTTATGGATGGAAATGTATGTGATGACTCATGCGTACGATAATGAGATAGTACACCTAGTGCTGAGATGACTCATGCGTATGACAGTGAGATAGTACATCTACTAGTGAAGTGATGACTCATACGTATGACAGTCATAGTACATCTACTAGTGAAGTGATGACTCATGCGTATGACAGTCATAGTACATCTACTAGTGAAGTGATGACTCATATGTATGACAGTCATAGTACATCTACTAGTGAAGTGATGACTCATGCGTATGACAGTCATAGTACATCTACTAGTGAAGTGATGACTCATGCGTATGACAGTCATAGTCCATCTACTAGTGAAGTGATGACTCATGCGTATGACAGTCATAGTACATCTACTAGTGAAGTGATGACTCATGCGTATGACAGGGAGATAGTACACCTAATGATGAGATGACTCATGCGTATGACAGTGAGATAGTACATCTACTAGTGAAGTGATTACACATGCGTATGACAGTGAGATTGTACATCTACTAGTGAAGTGATGACTCATGCGTATGACAGTGAGATAGTACATCTAGTGATGAGGCGGCTAGAGGCTATTCCTTCTCTTGTGGGGGTGGTAGATGTAAACCTATCGCCCTCGACTCAGTAGCGATAGCACCAGAGGGTGTTGCTGTATATTGTACCTGTGCCAGATGGTCCCCACTTGTGTGCGTCGTACCCGTGCTTTGTGTACAGTAAAGTTCACGGAAATAAAATGACAAATGTCTGTAGATGTATCTTCAGGCACTCACAATCCTCTAGCTCAGCTAAACCTTCAACATGCAATCCCGCCAAGCACGTCCAACGGCAGACTCGAATACAATACGTATGACTACCAAAGCACATGAAAGCGTTTATTCTGAATAGTCGCAAGTGCTCTTAACACGTGGTCAGCGTCCCGTTGTGCGCAGTGATAAACGTACTCAGAGCCTTGTACGCGTTTCCACCCTCCCGTTGTAACATGAGTTTGGCATCGGCTTCGTCAATTCCTAGTTCCGTTTTCTGGATGCAAGTCAGGGGTTGTGTCATTCCGTTAGCTTAAAAGTGATAGGTCTTATTGGTATAGGCATAGAGCTACACAAACGCCTACCAATGCGTATCGATGGGCGGTTGAAGTAGGTTTGTAGTGGTGTATATTGTGTATATTGGTAGGTCCGATAGGTGTCGTAGATGAATACTATGCGATATATAACTTGACACGGCAAGAGGGGTTGACTAACGGGGGTTGACGGGTGAGTAAGATATCACTGGATCCCACACAGACTGGAATATAGTACCATGTGAGATCAGGTACTTCTCCAGGTAGATACCCGCTAAGTCAAACGACCCAATGTCCCGTTCTCAAGTGCTCACGAGTTCATGTTGATACTCTGATACTCGCTCATACGCGACTACTGCCAACTACACACCATAAACCGCAAACCGCAATCTCGCAGTAGGCATGGTATCGCAATCACCATGACAACAATCACCATGACAACATTCTGGTTAGTGGTTGACCACCCGTGAACACGCGCCATGCGTTATACATATGCAGAGCTCCAGGACAAGACACAACATACCTCCACGACACGAATTATATATAAATGAGCTCTGATTATTCAGCATGGTCAAAGTATATGAAAATACTACAAATAGCCTAAAACGTGACATATATACGGTTGATGCTGGCGGCATACACTATTTCAAAAAATGAAGCAAATGCAAATACTAGACACAAAATTACAGGTGACTCGTTTGCTAAACTATACATTCAAGAAGGATGACGTGCCTGACAACAATACCACACCCATACCAATAGCTCATACTAGACAAAATTACAGGTGACTCGTTTGCTAAATTACACATTCAAGAAAGATGCCGTGCCTGACAACGATACCACACCCATACCAATAGCTCATACTAGACACGACTCGTTTGCTAAACTACACATTCAAGAAGGATAACGTGCCTGACAACAATGCCACACCCATACCAATAGCAACAATACCACACCCATACCAATAGCAACAATACCACACTCATACCAATAGCAACAATACCACACCCATACCAATAGCAATAATACCACACCCATACCAATAGCAACAATACCACACCCATACCAATAGCAACAATACCACATCCATACCACACCCATACCAATAGCAACAATACCACACCCATACCAATAGCAACAATACCACATCCATACCAATAGCAACAATACCACACCCATACCAATAGCAACAATACCACACCCATACCAATAGCAACAATACCACACCCATACCAATAGCAACAATACCACACAGATACCAATAACAACAATACCACACACATACCAATAGCTCGACATCGGATTCCTCGACTTTTACGAGCGCCAATTTCCTGTCACGAACCATTCGTTCGATTTTGATCTAGTAACAGAACGGGGATGGGCAAAGATCAATGAGATTTGAATTGCTCAAAGTCGACTTGTGTGTGTTTATGGTTGATATGAGGCGAGTGACAATTTACGACAATCAAATCTGATGTATGCATGATATGCGCGTACAGTATGGAAGGCAGAGCATATA